AATAACCTCTTCGTCTTAAAGCCATCTTCTTCTGAAATTTGTTCTTTTATTATCCTTTCTTCTCACTAAAGTCTTCACATTCTCTTTCACACCCAATAACCTCTTGCGTCTTAGTGGCATTATCGCCATCTTCTGTCTGCCTGAAATTTGTTTTATTATCCTTTTTCTTCTCACTAAAGTCTTCACATTCTCTTTCACACCCAATAACCTCTTGCGTCTTAGTGGCATTATCGCCATCTTCTGTCTGCCTGAAATTTGTTCTTTTATTATCCTTTCTTCTCACTAAAGTCTTCACATTCTCTTTCACACCCAATAACCTCTTGCGTCTTAGTGGCATTATCGCCATCTTCTGTCTGCCTGAAACTTGTTCTTTTATTATCCTTTCTTCTCACTAAAGTCTTCACATTCTCTTTCACACCCAATAACCTCTTGCGTGTATCGCCATCTTCTGTCTGCCTGAAACTTGTTCTTTTATTATCCTTTCTTCTCACTAAAAGTCTTCACATTTATAACCTCTTTCGTCTTAGTGGCATTATCGCCATCTTCTGTCTGCCTGAAATTTGTTCTTTTATTTTGTCTTACTTTCACACCCAATAACCTCTTGAATCGCCATCTTCTGTCTGCCTGAAATTTGTTCTTTTATTATCCTTTTCTTCTCACTAAAGTCTTCACATTCTCTTTCACACCCAATAACCTCTTGCGTCTTAGTGGCATTATCTGCCCTTTTATTATCCTTTCTTCTCTTCTTGTCTTTCACACCCAATAACCTCTTGAAATCTTCTGTCTGCCTGTTCTTTTATTATCCTTTCTTCTCACTAAAGTCTTCACATTCTCTTTCACCAATAACCTCTTGCGTCTTAGTGGCATTATCGCCATCTTCTGTCTGCCTGAAATTTGTTTTTTATTATCCTTTCTTCTCACTAAAGTCTTCACATTCTCTTTCACTCCCAATAACCTCTTGCGTCTTAGTGGCATTATCGCCATCTTCTGTCTACCTGAAATTTGTTCTTTTATTATCCTTTTTCCTCACTAAAGTCTTCACATTCTCTTTCACACCCAATAACCTCTTGCGTCTTAGTGGCATTATCGCCATCTTCTGTCTGCCTGAAACTTGTTTTTTTATTGTCTTTTCTTCTCACTGAAAAGTCTTTCACATTCTCTTTCACACCCAATAACCTCTTGCGTCTTAGTGGCATTATCGCCATCTTCTGTCTGCCTGAAACTTGTTCTTTTATTATCCTTTCTTCTCACTAAAGTCTTCACATTCTTTCACACCCAATAACCTCTTGCGTCTTAGTGGCAGTATCGCCATCTTCTGTCTGCCTGAAACTTGTTCTTTTATTATCCTTTCTTCTCACTAAAGTCTTCACATTCTCTTCACACCCAATAACCTCTTGCGTCTTTCATTATCGCCATCTTCTGTCCTGAAACTTGTTTTTTATTATCCTTTCTTCTCACTAAAGTCTTCACATTCTCCCCTTGCGTCTTGGCATTATCGCCATCTTCTGTCTGGCTTGTTCTTTTATTATCCTTTCTTCTCGCCTTGCGTCTTAGTGGCATTATCGCCATCTTCTGTCCTGAAACTTCACATTTCTTTTATTGTCCTTTCTCCTGAAATTTGTTCTTTTATTATCCTTTCACTAAAGTCTTCACATTCTCTTTCACACCCAATAACCTCTTGCGTCTTAGTGGCATTATCGCCATCTTCTGTCTGCCTGAAACTTGTTCTTTTATTATCCTTTCTTCTCACTAAAGTCTTCACATTCTCTTTCACCCAATAACCTCTTGCGTCTTAGTGGCATTATCGCCATATTCTGTCTGCCTGAAATTTGTTCTTTTATTATCCTTTCTTCTCACTAAAGTCTTCACATTTCTCTTTCACACCCAATAACCTCTTGCGTCTTAGTATTATCGCCATTCTTTGCTGAAACTTGTCTTTTATTATCCTTTCTTTGCGTCTTAGTGGCATTATCGCCATCTTCTGTCTGCCTGAAATTTGTTCTTTTATTATCCTTTCTTCTCACTAAAGTCTTCACATTCTCTTTCCCACCCAATAACCTCTTGCGTCTTAGTGGCATTATCGCCATCTTCTGTCTGCCTGAAACTTGTTCTTTTATTATCCTTTCTTCTCACTAAAGTCTTCACATTCTCTTTCACACCCAATAACCTCTTGCGTCTTAGTGGCATTATCGCCATCTTCTGTCTGCCTGAAACTTGTTCTTTTATTATCCTTTCTTTCTCTAAAGTCTTCATTCTCTTTCACACCCAAAACCTCTTGCGTCTTAGTGGCATTATCGCCATCTTCTGTCTGCCTGAAATTTGTTCTTTTATTATCCTTTCTTCTCACTAAAGTCTTCACATTCTCTTTCACACCCAATAACCTCTTGCGTCTTAGTGGCATTATCGCCATCTTCTGTCTGCCTGAAATTTGTTCTTTTATTATCCTTTCTTCTCACTAAAGTCTTCACATTCTCTTTTCTCTTCACCATTCTTGCGTCTTACACCTGAAATTTGTTCTTTTATTATCCCTTCTTAAAGTCTTCACATTCTTTTAACCTCTTGCGTCTTAGTGGCATTATCGCCATCTTCTGTCTACCTGAAACTTGTTCTTTTATTATCCTTTCTTCTCACTAAAGTCTTCACATTCTCTTTCACACCCAATAACCTCTTGCGTCTTAGTGGCATTATCGCCATCTTTGTCTGCCTGAAACTTGTTCTTTTATTATCCTTTCTTCTCACTAAAGTCTTCACATTCTCTTTAATAACCTCTTGCGTCTTAGTTATTATCGCCATCTTCTGTCTACCTGAAACTTGTTTTATTATCCTTTCTTCTCACTAAAGTCTTCACATTTCTTTCCTCCCAATAACCTCTTGCGTCTTAGTGGCATTATCGCCATCTTCTGTCTACCTGAAACCTGTTTTTATTGTCCTTTCTCCTCACTAAAGTCTTCACATTCTCTTTCACTCCCAGTAACCCCTTGCGTCTTAGTGGCATTATCGCCATCTTCTGTCTACCTGAAACCTGTTTTTATTGTCCTTTCTCCTCACTAAAGTCTTCACATTCTCTTTCACTCCTAGTAACCCCTTGCGTCTTAGTGGCATTATCGCCATCTTTTGTATTCTTGAATCCTGTTCTTTTATTGTCCTTATTCCTCACTAAAGTTTTCTCAATCTCTTTCACTCCCAGTGTAGCCCTTGAGTCTTAAACCCGAATATTTAGCTTATGACATTAATTTTGATATAATCTGTAGAATGAAATATTAATTTCAAATTAAAAGAAGAATAAAAAGAGGTTCAAAATAGATTTAAAATATATAGATATGACGATGTAAGGGATTAATCGAAAGAGAGTTGAGGGGAAGATATTAAAGTAGGGGGAAGTTTATAAATTATAATTAATATAGTATAGTGTAAAGATGTTATAGAGTTGGGGGCGAAATGTAAAAATATAGAAATTAGAATTAGTTATACTTTCGACATTTGAAGAGATAGAGGGCGGGGTGAATATTATGAAAATATAATAGCGAATTAAGTTAAGCCTATATTATGGAAATTTGAATTTGTTTTTATGTCGCCATTTTAACACTAAGTAATTAATCTTGTCCAATTTTAAAATTTATAATACTAAAATCCACCTTTACTATCTCTCTCTCTCTTCTCTTTTCTCTTTCCATATATATATATATATATATATATATAACCTTCGTTTTATATATATATATATATATATATATATATATATATATATATATATATATATACATATATATAAAACGAATAGGTTATAGTAATTTCAACGAGAGAAAGGTCTGTATATTAAAAAGAAAAGAGAAACCGCAAAATGTTTTAGTTCTAATGTGGATTTAAAAAAATATTATGCTTTATCTGACATAAATTTGCTACACGCGTTTCATGTCTCGCCACCATCATCAGGCAAAGGGTGGAAATTTTCACATATTATCAAAAATAATAATTTTTTTCCTTGATGTTTTTCGATGTTAAATATTCTCTATATGAGACATTTTCTTATTTTGTGTTAGTGACCCAAATGTCTTTCTTGAACTGGCAGTGAAAAGTTCTGCGTGAAGGGTTATAAAACAATTAAGATTGGTCCGAGAAATGATGGAGTAGTTTTCGGCATTCTTATCTTTTAATGACTCCTGTGTGTTCTTCGATCTATTTCCATTTTCGTGTGTTTTTGTCAGCATGCGTGTATATAGATGTTTATCACCTCTCCATACATACGCACTGTTTCACAATTGAGGAAGAGAAAGAGAGACAGACGGCGATATATATATATATATATATATATATATATATATATATATATATATATATATATAAAAAAACGTTCTTAAACGATATATTCGATTATAAATTGGCGGTATTTGGTGGAACATTCGATTCAAATCCAATTTACGCAAATATAAATAACGCTGAAAAATTGGACGATTTCGGAAGATTTTTCAATAAAGTTCTGTTACATTCCTAACAAAAAATGCCCAACAATGTGGAATAAATTTTAAAAAATAAGGTGACAAGAACCCCCCAAAAAAACAAAAACCAAAAAAAAAACAGCGCAAAATATTTTCTTTGTTTTTTTACGGTTCAAATGTATTCAGCCTTTAATTACAACAGCAGCATGTAACGTCTTCAGCTTTTAATAGAAATGCTGCCATCTGCCGGTGCTAGGTTAGACTTTCTTGACTCTTTAGCTGAAAGGAATTTGTTACTCTTTCTCTGAAGGATTTATATATCTCTCTATCGCTTACTCTCACTCTTACAATTAGTACTCAGTATTTATATCTATCTTATTCTATAAATCCTTCAGAGAAATGAGCAAAAGATTCCTTTATTTATTTTCTTCATATTTATTTAAAGTTCAAACATACTCTCCTTTATATCATTCAATTAAACTTCTCACCGTTTGGATCTATTTTTTTTCTTTTTCTTTTTTTTTTGGGGGGGATTTTAATAAAATGCATTTGTTTAATATTCAGGCGCCTTTTATTTTTTTTATTTTTTTTCATTTATTCGTTTATTTCTTTTTTGATTTTTTTCCTTCAATTTTTGGTTTATTAATTCCTTTATTTTCTTTTTTACTTCGACATCTTTTTCCTTCTTTTTCTTTTCTCTTCTTTTATTTCTTTCTTTAATTCTCTTTGTTCGTTTTTATTCCGAAACCTCTTCCTTCCTTAATGTATTTATTTCAATATTTTTCATTCATTCTTCTTTCTGTAAATTACACACACACACACACACACACACATATATATACACACACACACACACACACACATATATATATATATATATATATATATATATATATATATATATATTAGGTTGGTGCAAAAATAATGACGTAATAATGTCGGTTTTGACGTATTTTTTAACGTCAAAAACGACATTATTGCGATAAATTATTTTTGCACCAACCTAATATATATATATATATATATATATATATATATATATCAAATATATGGTGCAGTTCAGTTTATACTACAATGAATCATTCATACAATAATAGATTAGTAAAGTTAATGATATAAAATGGCGAAATCCCTTCGCAAACAAAATTTTAAAGGTGCATTAATCTACAAATTACTCGATGAATGTTATGATCCTTATTTTGAAAAATTATAGGCTGTATAAGGTCTTTCTTTAATACGCAAATACTTTCAACTCTACGTTCAGTCATCTTCAGGTATGGAAATTATTTTGTTTTTGGTAAAATTCAGGTAGCATCCGAGATGAAAAATTAAATGTGAATCGAAATACGTTTTTTTTTTGTTTTTTTTTTAAATGTGTTATTGTTAACGGATACAGACTTTGGAGCTTGCATGTTTCGATTTTTCATTGTAGTATATATATATATATATATATATATATATATATATATATATATATATATATATATATATATATAGGAGGATTAGGAGATTTAAATAATCACAATTAATTCATCGAGTCGAGAAGAATACTCAACAGAATGCAGAAAGCACTTGACGGATGTTTTTCTCCTATTTTGGGGTCCCATCACCGAGAATCGAACCTGGACCGTTCCGTAAGCTTCATGCCCACTAGACTAACGGGTTTCGATGACGAAGAGGTAACATACTAGATTCGATATAGCGCCAGCTTTTCAAAAATTCCGTCGTGTGACTCATCCAAGTCTACTTAGTCGAACGGACTATGCCCCGTGAGTGACGTCTTCTATCCTAAAGCCGCTCAAAGATTTCAAGCATTGCTTTATATATATATATATATATATATATATATATATATATATATATATATATATAGTTTTTAACGTGTGCTATATTTAGGGATAAAGTGCTCAATATCAGTGATAGAGCGTATGTAAATATAAATATAAAAGTGAACATTGAAGTCAACACTCAGAGGCGACAGGCTGTTCCGATTGCATCCAGCATGAAACAACCTTTCGCCTTTGAGTGTTGACTTCAATGTTCACTTTTCAATCATTGCTATAATTTGTGGAGAAAAATGATGCATTTCAATATTACTCAATATTCTTGCTGATGTGACCTCCATCTTCTGGCTTTCTCCTACTATATTTTGGATAATAGTCATTCCCTTGTTCAAATTTAAATTTAATTTAAATCAAAGGAAAAAAAAATCAGCCGGGTGTCTGTGCAAAAAAAAGCTTCATTTGACATGCATTTGTTGCAATACTTCATTGAATGAATTGATGATCAGATTTTAACCTTGATATAATAGTTGAATTGTCACAACAAATATGCATTGTAAAGCACTACCCACTGATTGGTGATTTCTTGTTCAACTTGACATCCATATTGTCTCATTTTGATGTTGCTGATGTGAAATTTCATTTTAATCAAATAGAAAAAAAAATTAATCGGCGGTTTGTGCCCGTCCGGGGATCCCTTTTAGTCAAAATTAAATAAATTTATCCAAGTACCCTGGGTAATTTAGTTTCAGAATATATTTGGTTATGGGGATCTACCTCCAAAACCCTAGGAGAACTTCGATAACAAAGAGACAGAGACTAGAACTATATATATATATATATATTTTAATTCATCGAGTCTGATAGAAATCTCCACAGAATGCAGAAAGCACTGGACGGCCGTTTCGTCCTATATTTGGGACTCCTCAGCAGTGCGCATCCACTACCGAGAATTGAAACCCTGACAGTTAGGTTGTCATGCAAACACCATACCAACTGTTCCAAGTGGGCCTCGGTGACGAAGAAATTCCAAATCAGACTCAACAAAGCGCCGCTCGCTCACATATTCCGTGGCGGAACTCGACTGAGATTCTCTGTAACCATAGGACTGTGCCCCATATATATATATATGTTATGATCCGGTTCCTTGTACCACGGTAGTCCAAGGTAGAACCAATAAAGAAGAACGCGAACACAGGTATGGAATAACACAGATATATTACAAACAGGAATATATACAGAGAAGTAGAAGTGTTAGTATGAACAATCAGGTTTAGTAGAGAGAACAATGTAGTCTCGACCAGTATCACTATTCCAGTGTCTTGCAGTAATTGTCTGAACGCGACTCTGTTTCGGACTGCCTCTGACTCGACTCTTGACTCGACTTGAACTACTGACGATATTCAGTCATCCCCCCCCATCAACGAGGGCGTCATGTGGCGCAAGGCCTTTTTAACGTGGGCTCTCCGAGCCCGTGGGGTCGGCCAAACATATACCCATTGAACCCGTATAAAAGGGTTCAGGGTCGGTTTACCTCCCCGAATTAGAATCCGCCCTTCGGCGTAGCTTCCTTCGGCTTCCTCCCTGCCCGAAGGCAGAGAGTTCAACCGATCTGTCGTTCAAGAGTTGAGCGACTGACGATATTCAGTCACCCCACCACGAGGGCGTCATGTGGCACAAGGCCTTTTTAACGTGGACGCCTGAGGCGCAGTATTTATTAAGTATGGAATAGTCCATTATTATTATTATGGGTAAGATCCCGCAACAATATATATATATATATATATATATATATATATATATATATATATATTAAGAAAGCTCTAAATCAAATAAGAAAACGAAATTAGAGCCAAGTGAAGACATATCGAAATATTCACTTTATCATTTAGTGATTAATATCAATTATTTATGTAAAAAACGAGATACGTTTTCCCTAACTCCAGAAAGATTACAATACTCAAAATTTAAAAACAATAACACGTCTATTGAGAAAAAAAAAACGGAATCTGAATAGCAACAAATTGCTACAGGTGAAAGAAAAGAAACAAAAAAAAAGGAAAAATAAAAAAGAGAAATAACTAAGGAGTGAGAGTAAAGTGGAGGAAAAAGAACGAAGAAAAGGACAAAAAATCAAGCTACACGTACACACATCTGTAGAGACGGGCGCATGTCTGCACGCGTGCGCGCGCGCACACACACACACACGCACATACGATACGTGGAAAAATATTTGCATCAATAAGTGCATAAAAACAAATCGAGAAATATAAACAGTCAGTTGCTGATGCAACCGCAACTTCTACTCCAACAACTTTATTTCTAGCACTTCCCGCCCGTGGAACTCCCTTCCGCTTACTTGCTTCCCTGATGATTACAATCTTCAATAACTTAAATGCAATATCAATTGCCATCATCTATCTTCTTGAATCCTGTTCATCTTTTATTCTTTCCTCAATCCTCCCACCCTATATTAAGTCTTTTCTCTCACTTTCACCCTCTGTAACCCCCTGCTTACTAGTGGCATTCCCGCCTTGCATGATTGATTTTCTGAGAATACTACAGGCCATCTAAGATTTTGACATTTAAAATAACGTTAATTCTTGCGCTAGTGATATTCTTCCCATTGTCTGCCTTCTGTGACCAAGGTAGCTGAGACATTGGCAGTAAACTCCTAGAATTTTGCTCTATAGGGCAGCTAGCCAGGACACTTTGAAATGCTAAACTTGTTGCGCTTTTAATATATGGCTTTTGTAAGACATTCTGGTTGGGGAATAACTCATTGGTTGTTATGACCATATTTTAGTCGTTTGCACAGTTCCCGGTATGTCATAGTTCCCACCCTGTCATGTATATTTTGATACACATTCTTGAATGAACCGTGTGGTGTCATTTATTACTGGAATGTGCTTCATATTCCCACATAAGTTTTAAATTCCTTTTATTAATCTCTCTGTATTTGTTGGTTTTATTTCAATAAAAACACTAATTTTTGGCTGATTGTAAAGATTCCGTCTAGCTGTGCCGCGTTTTGTTTAGAAAATGCGAAGTGAACGTTTGAATTTCAGTCGACATGGAGATGGGAAAACTCTCCTTTGAATACTGAAAGCGAATAAATGAAGGATTCGTTGTAACAGAGAAGAAGATAATAAGGGATGGAGTTGTGGTTGTTTAAAAACAAAGAAGATTCTAAATGGACTATGGAAAAAGCGGGTGGAGGGAGAAAGAAAGAAAGTAGAAAACATAGAAAAGGCGAAAAAAACGAGAAAGAAAGAAAGAAAGAAAGAAAGAAAGAAAGAAAGAAAGAAAGAAAGACAGATAATTAACGAGGGGGCAAGGAAAAGAAAACATAGATAAGATGAAACAAACGAGCTAAAGAAAGAATGAAAGAAGGAAAGAATGAAAAATAAAAGAAAGAAAAATGAATGAATGAATTAAAGAATGAAAGAAAGAATTAAAAAAGAAAAAATAATGAATGAAAGAAGGAAAGACTGAAAGAATAAATAAATAAAATAAAGAATGAAAGAAGGAAAGAAACAAAGAATGAATGAAACAAAAAATGAAATAATGAATAAAGGAAAGAAAGAATGACATTACGAAAGAAAGAATGAATGAAAAAAATGAAAGAATTAATCAAAGAAAGAAACAATGAATGAATGAAAGAAAGAAAGAAAGAAAGAAAGAAAGAAAAATTGAAAAATGAAAGAATGAAATAAAGAAAGAAAGGGTGAATGAATGATGAAAGAATGAATGAATGAAAGAAAGAAAGAAAACAATAATAAATAATAACTCGCTGGCAAAGAAAACAGACATCAGTGAAGCGAACAAAATGAAAAATAAATAAACAAAGAAACATAACGAGGCAGACAAAAACATTAAGGAAGATAGAAAGAAAGAACAAAAGAAAGAGAGAGAGGGGGGAAGTAAACAAAAAAAAAGAAGACGACGACGAAGAAGAATAAGCAGCAGAAGAAGAAATAATTGATGGGTTGAAGAATGAATAATACTGTCTGGTTAAGATATTCTTTTCCCTTTTTTCCCTGTTAATTGATTGAATATTGATTCGTCTGTGAACTTGGACGAGATGGTCGGAGAAAAGTCCGGGTGAATAAAAGAACTTGACAGGAGACTCAAAATGACATTTCATGAATGCCTCAAAAATTGATTAATAATTTTGAACAATTTTCTTTACTCAGTCCCATACGGTATGACACACACGTTCTATGTATTGAATTCTCCGTCACTCTCTCTCTCTCTCTCTCTCTCTCTCTCTCTCTCTCTCACTCTCCCACCCACAACGGGGAACATGACAGACTAACTGAAAATAATTAAACGCAGTCGCAAAATAAAGCACACACACACACACACACATATATATATATATATATATATATATATATATATATATATATATATATATATATATATATATAGTTAAGTTACGAAGAACTTGGTAAACCGAATGGGTAATTCCAAGGAGGATGAAATCCTGAGAGCTCAATGTGAATCCAGAGCTAATATTTAATGAAAAAAACAGACCACTTTTAAGGTACCATTACAATAATTTATTTCACCAAAATCCTTTTGAAGGACTCCGGGTCATCAGGTAACACTTCCAACAACGAAATGAAAGGAAAAATGCCCATTTTTCCTTTCATTTCGTTGTTGGAATATATATATATTTATATAGCATAATGAGAAGCCACGTATACTTTCTTAATATGTATATATAGAAAAAGTTGCAAATTAAAAAAATAATGTTTTATTTTATGAAAGTATTTATTTATTTATATATTTGATATTTCAAATTGTCCTCAATAGTGGATATATTGGTGAGTCTGGAAATAATTTTAGATTTCGTTTCAATAACCATAAACAAACCATACGTCAAAACAACCCTTATTCCCCCATAGCTAAACACTTTAATCAATCAAGACACACATTAGAAAACTGCAAATGTTTATTGATAGATTCCGATTTTAGTGCCACATACACACACAGAAAAAAAGAAACATATTGGATTGTAAAATTAAATACACATAAACTAAGGTTGAATAGGAACTTGGGTGTTTTAAATCTTTATAAATATTTCAATTGCTAAGCAATTTTTTTTTAGATATAGTTAAAAAAAAATTTTTAAACAACATTTAAAATATTTATGACAGTTAGATTTAAGTTAGGAATATCCGAACAGTGACGTTCCATATCACGTGACGTCCGCGTCTCGCGAAGGACGCTACTTGCTAACAAACAGTAATTTTAATTTATTTGAGCTGAATAATATCAACTACGAAAACGGCCACAATGTGCTGACTGTGTTCGGAAAATAAAATATCCCTATAGCTCTAGAACCATACCCACAGCTCGTAGATATAGTTAATAAAAAAAAAATCATCCTTGATAATGGCTAAAATTATAGCCGATAGCGCTCGGGATTACATAACATTAGACTGTTTTTAAATATAGCGTTTCCAGAAAAGAAAACACTTGTTCAAATACAAGAAAAATTAAATAAAAAGCTTAATCGTATTACTTTGTCTGTTGTTTTTAATGAAACATGTATAAATCATCTTGCGTCCTCAGCCGAGACTGAACTCACTACACCTTTCCAGTATTCCTTATCTGTCATAGCTAATACTTTGATTGGTGTAGTTTCTTGATGCTTCGCTAGGGCTATCAAGGGTGTTTTTATCGTGACACCAACACTAAATGGATTGCCAACCAAGGCTCAGTGAGACTCCATTCACCCTCCGCAGGTTTTGAATTCAGAGTTTTCCTTCCCCTAGACCAGTTTCCATCCAAGGCTATAGAACCCAGTCTGTCCTGCTATTTACCCATAGCTGGAGGGAGAAGAAAGAGGATTCACACCTTTCCCAAGGGTATTAGCACGTAAGTGAATGTAATGGATTCGACTGGAATTCGAACTCGGCTCTCCGATTCCTCAATCCAAGCAGCTATCCATTACTCCATCGTGCCTCCTCTAAATGTATAAAAGAGGGATTGCTGCCTACGTATACGTAGGCTTCTGTCGGTCAGGGTTGACAATGTTAGCATCCTAGTTGTCTGCTTGGCTGGAGCATCTACGTCTGTGTGACAATCTCAGTTGCAGAGGTCGCATGTGTGTTCTGTCTCTGGCCTGTTGGAGCTGTCACTTTGCTTTGTGTGGGCCCGCCTTTCCGTGGCGACTTGAGTCAGCTTCTACTCCCCTGACTTGAGGTGTTTGGTCAGGGTTCCTCTCCATTTGGATCGTATTATTGCAAGGCTCTCCCAAGACTCTGTGTTGATGTCCACAACTTACATGTCGCGCCTCACGACATCGCGGTACCGCAGCTGTGGCCGCTCAGCTTGTCTACTTCCAGAGGCCAGATCTCCATACAGTAAATCTTTGGGTATGCGGTCGTCTGGCATGCGGTCGTCTGGGATGCGGTGGACGTGACCCAACCAACGGGAGTCTGCGCTGTCTGATCGGTGTGAACATGCTGAGCAGACCTTCTCGAGACAGGAACTCAGTGTTGGGAACGTTTTCTTGCAACGCTGTTACCAGGATACTGCGAATGATTCACATGTGAAAGGTGTTCAGATGCCTTTCTTGCCTGACATACGTGGTCTAAGCCTTGCTGCCATATAGTAATATGGTGATAACGTAGGCGTTGTACACTGCCATATTGGTCTTCACCGTTAGCTTGGGATTGGTCCACACACGTGTTGTGAGGAGCGCAAGGGCTGTGGTTGCCTTCCTAATTCTCTTGTCAATCTTTGCGTCTAAGGAGAGATGGTGGTGACACGGTACGTGAATTGATGAACCTTATTGATTGCTGCCTAAATACACAATATGCATTGTGATTGGTCCTGATCTGGCATCTCGTATACAGTCACGCCCTCACAGACATGGCGTCGCCTAACACTGTCTTTTCTACAAATACTTTTAGGGTAACTACTCCGACGAGCTACTTTCGCGAGTTCACAGACTGCATGAATTTAAACGTGCTACTAGGTTGGCGTCTCGGTCCCACCCTTTCATTGTCGAAACGGTTCAATGTAACCGTCTCTTCTACTCCAATAGCTTCATGTCTCGCACTTCCCGTCTGTGGAGTTCCCTTCCTCTTTCTTTGTTTCCTTGATAGCTATAATTTTCCAACAAATGTCAATCGACATTTTCAGATGCCCTTCTGTCCTTTTCTTCATTCTTTCCTCCATTACGCCTGTTTGCACTCGCTCTCACTCTCTGTAACCCGTTGCGTGCTAGTGGCGTCCCGCCTTGCTTAGGGTCAGAAGCTTAAAATAAATATATATATATATATATATATATATATATGTGTGTGTGTGTGTGTGTGTGTGTGTGTGTGTGTGTGTGTGTCTGTGTGTTTATATATATATTTAGAAATACACACACACACACACACACACACACACACACACACACACACACATATTATATATATATATATATATATATACGGATAAAACACACGCATATATATATGTATTCAACATCATCACTTGATAAGACACCGGAGGTGTTGAAACAAAATGGCTATTTTGTAGTGATTTTATAATATATTTATGTTATAATTTTTAAATAAATAATTATATCTGCTCTAATCTGTTTTGAGCACACTTTTAAGAATAGTAATTTTGGTTATTGGAATTTATTCCGTATACACCAATCCTATACTTGGGTATATATACATATATATATATATATATATATATATATATATATATATATATATATATATATATATTAGAGTGAATTTTTATTAATCCGACACATTTTATCACTTTAAACGTAGAATTAGTGGACGCAGGTGCACGTATTTGAGTAGGCGTTCCGTTTACATGTTAAATCTAAGTCAGTGGGAATTTCGTTTTCGTGGCCAAACGGTAAGGCGCACCGGGCTAAACGCTGGCTCACTCTCTCCCCAGAATGCCATAAATACAATTTATTTCCTGTAGCTGAAAATAAATAAATTAGTGCACTATTTAATATATAAACGGGGCGCCTACTCAAATACTAGTATGCACTAATAATCGGTTTAATACTAAAAATTAATTAATTACTATTAATTTTAATTAGTTACTATTATTAAATAATATTAATACTAGCATGCACTAATAATAGGTTTAAAGTGTTAATATATGCGTATTTGTATTCCTTGAAAATATATTTTTATATAGATTAATGAATCTATTTTTAATCGGATATCTTTATTACTTTAAATGTTATTTTTAGTTCATATATTCTTCATCAATGTGCCGTGTACTTTCAGGGCAGGTTATGGCTATTGACAGTTTGTCTCCGATTGCTAAAGACCCCTCAACCCGTCCTGCCATCCATTCATACAAGCCTGTCAGGTAAGGCTCTCACTGCCTTCCCCTATTTCTCAACATATATATATATATATATATACACAGTGTAACCCGGATATAAGAAAGTTGTCGGGACCGGAGAAGAAGTCTCTTATATCCAGGTTTGGTCTATTTTGTTTAGGTAAGTATGGGCTCTAATTTGGGACCAGAGAAAATCTCTCTTATATCCGGGTTTCTCTTATATCGGGATCTCTTATATCCAGGTTTGTATATATATATATATATATATATATATATATATATATATATATATATATATATATACCCAAGTATATGATTGGTATATACGGAATGAATTCAATAACCAACAAATACTATCCTTTAAAAGAGTGCTCATAATTTTTTTTAAATAAATAATTATATATATATATATATATATGTGTGTGTGTGTATATATATATATATATATATATATATATATATATATATATATATATAAGTTTTATTAAGCTTTATATTTAGTTATCCTTGCATTCTTATAAGTTTTTCTGCACATAATGTATCTGACCGATTTCGACCATTTTGTTAGCCATTATTAACGATTTAAACTGGATTCTATAGTGCATTCATCGGGATGTTAGTTTCTGTTTATTTACGGTCAGCACGTTGAACAAATTGAATAAAAAGTTTCATCGTTATACCTTGTCAGTCGTCTTTAATGAAATATGTGTAAAAGAGAGATTTCTGCCCAAATACGCAATTATATATATATATATATATATTAAATATATAGAAAATAGGAAGGAACTGGTTAGGTAAATAATCCAAAGTCCCTTAGTATTTTAGTTATTATTTTTTTAAAAATAGTGCTCGATACAAAAGTAGAGCATAAATATAATTATTTATTTAAAAATATGATTCCAAATGGTAACAGCTATGGTGAATTTGGGGGTGTCAAAAATGAAACGGCCGTTTCATTTTTGACACCCCCACCTTTCCCCGACTTGACACCTTGAAAGTATCTCTATACCGCTACTTAATATAAACACCCTACACTCGCCTACCCAATTTAGACAATTCACCATAGCTGTTACCATGGGGATTTTGATTTCAATTTTAAAACAAGTAAATTTCAGATATACGTTATTCCAACAAAAATTTCGCTTGAGGATGGAACGAGCCCATTTTAATTTCAACTCAATTTAATTTAAAGGATTATATTGAAGTTTTCGGCTCTAGTTTTGAAACATGAGACCTCTTATGTAGCGATTTGGAATCATATTTTTAAATAAAAATATATATATATATATATATATATATATATATAAATATATATATATATATATATATATAATTATTTATATATTATATGCGCGGTACTTATTAGAAAGCGCTCAATATCAGAGATAGAGCTAACATATTTGGTTGGATTGACGTGAGTTTGTGACCCTGGGTTTCACGCTTTTGCGATCGTCAGACAAACTGATTAATGTTTTAAAAAATCATAGCGCAAATGTAGATGTATGTTTGCGTTAGCACGATGACATCACGAGGATTCCCCCCACTCCCATAATAACACCAATACACGCAATTAAATAATTAATCAGTTTGTCTGACGATCGCAAAAGCGTGAAACCCAAGGTCACAAACTCACATCAATCCAGCCAAATATATGTATATATATGTGTGTGTGTGTGTGTCTATCTGTGTGTGTATACACTCATACACACACATATATATATATATATAATAATATATATATATATATATATATATATATATATATATATATACATATATATATATATATATATATATATATATATATATAGAGAGAGAGAGAGAGAGAGAGAGAGAGAGATAGAGAGATATATATAGTAATACAAATATATATAGAGAGAGAGAGATATGACTGGACCAGAAATTGAACCATATGACAACGTAGAGGTGGATAGATAGTTATGCCCAGAATAAAGCAGACATGCACCTCCTGATGCACACACACACACACACACACACACACACACACACACACACACACACACACATCTAAATATATATATATATATATATATATATATATATATATATATATATATATATATAGATAGATAGATAGATAGATAGATAGATAGGAAAATAGGTAAGGTGATAATAGATAGATAGATAGATAGATAGATAGATAGATAGATATCAACATACTTAGGCAGACATCTAGCTAGATAGATAGATAAGTAGGTAGGTAGGCAGGAGGGGGATTGATAGATAGACAGATATGAACAGACTTAGATATTCAGATACATAGGGAGATTGATAGATAAATAGAGGGATATCTATCTATCTATCTCTCTCTCTCTCTCTATATATATATATATATATATATATAGATAGATAGATAGATAGATAGATAGATAGATAGAGAAAGGGACAACTTAAGCATAAGAGAGTGGGTTGCAGTCATTAGATGTTGAAAACAACAAGCAGAAAAAAAAATTAATATCCGGGAGAAGATATTTTTAACAAGTTCTGTTTTTTTTTTTTTTCATTCTGAAAAGTTTTTTTTTAAATGTCCCCGCTGTGGTATGTCGGACACGCATGCGCACTGTTGTCCTTTCGCCATAGGAAGCCAAATATAATTGTTGTCTGTCTTTGTGAATCCTGCAAGCAAAGGTGGCAACCACCCGTGGGGTCACAGCATGACCCAATGTTTGGGGGCAATGAATTCAGTAGGGGTGCGTGTCCGGATTTTTCTGTGATTGTATGTATGTGCTCTTATTTGTGTGCGGTTGTTTGTGTTTCTCTTCGTGTGCGCGTGCCCCTATGCGTGTGTGCGCATGCATGTGTGTGTCTGTGTGTGTGTGCTCCTCTGCGTGTGTGAGTGTATGTGAGATTGCGTGTATGTAAATTGGCAGATCCCTGAATAAATTTAGGACAGTTCATCTCGATACAAGGAGATCAGTTTTTTTTTTATTTGAAGAAAGAAAGAAAACAAGAAAGAAAAAAAGAAAAAAAATGTGAGATATAAGGAAGTGAGCAAGAAGAAGAAAGAAAGCAGTAGAATTGTGAGAAGACAAAGAAGAAGAACAAAACAGAGAAGTGAGAAGAAGCGTGAGACGGCAGTCATAGAAGAAGAAGAAGAAAAAGAAGAAGAAGTGAGAAGAAGGGTGTGAAGACAGTCATAAAGAAGAAGAAGAAGAAGAAGAAGAAGAAGAAGAAGAAAAATTAGATGTGAGTAGAAGCATGAGAAGACAGTCATAGGAGAAGAGGAAGAAGAAGAAGAAGTGAGTAGAAGCGTGAGAAGACAGTCATAGAAGAAGAAGAAGAAGAAAAAGAAATGAGAAGAAGGGTGAGAAGACAGTCGTAGAAGAAGAAGAAGAAGAAGAAGAAGAAGCAAAAGAAGAAGAAAAAGAAGTGAATAGAAGCGTGAGAAGACAGACATAGAAGAAAAAAGAAGAAGAAGAAGAAGAAGAAGAAGAAGAAGAAAAGAAATGAGAAGAAGAGTGAGAAGACAGTCGTATAAGCAGAAGAAGAAGAAGAAGAAAAAGAAGAAAAAGAAGTGAGTAGAAGCGTGAGAAGACAGTCATAGAAGAAAAAAGAAGAAGAAGAAGAAGAAGAAAAAGAAGAAGAAAAAGAAGTGAGTAGAAGCGTGAGAAGAGAGTCATAGAAGAAAAAAGAAGAAAAAAGAAGATAGGATAAATGGAAAGTAGGAAAAAGTATAAGAAAAGAGAAGTAAAAGAAAAGAAAATATTAGTATTAATAGTAGTATTAGTAGAAAGACAAGAAGACGAATATAACAAATAGATTAAAGGAAGAAGAAAATAGAATAAAATAAGCTAAAAAGTGATGAAAAAGAGAAAAGAAAATATACTAGAAAAAGAATGAGAAAAAAGAAAGAAAGAAAAGAATGAGTGGAAGATTATAAAGTAATAAAAGGCATCCATACGAAAAAAAAAATCGAAAAAAGAAAATGAAGCTGAAAAGATGTAGAAAAAAGAAAAGAAGTATTGTAGTAGTAGTAGCAGTAGTAGTAGTAATAATAGTAGTAGTAGTAGTAGCAGCAGCAGCAGTAGTAGTAGTAGTAGTAGTGGAAAATGAAGAAAGGTATGATGATAAAGAAGTAAAAGAAGAAAAAGAAGAAAGACTAGGAGGAGAGGATAGTTTTGACAAAAACAGCGAATTGAAATTAAACGAGCAAGAGTTGTACGCTCCGGCCTTCTTCAGGGTCAGTCTATATTCCTGAAATGTGGCATTGGAACTATTTACATTACTTACATTGATCGAACTGCTGATCCCGTATTTATTACCATATTCACGATATTTCAGTCGTTGCACGCTCCGGCCTTCTTCAGGATCAGTCTATATTCCTGAAATGTGGCATTGGAACTATTTACATTACTTACATTGATCGGACTGTTGATCCCGTCTTTATTACCATATTCACGATGTTTCAGTCGTTGCACGCTCCGGCCTTCGGCCTTCAGGATCAGTCTAGTCTATTGGAACTATTTACATTACTTACATTGATCGGACTGTTGATCCCGTCTTTATTACCATATTCACGATGTTTCAGTCGTTGCACGCTCCGGCCTTCTTCAGGATCAGTCTATATTCCTGAAATGTGGCATTGGAACTATTTACATTACTTACATTGATCGGACTGTTGATCCGTCGTTATTACCATATTCACGATGTTTCAGTCGTTGCACGCCCGGCCTTCTTCAGGATCAGTCTATATTCCTGAAAATGGCATTGGAACTATTTACATTACTTTACATTGATCGGACTGTTGATCCCGTCTTTATTACCATATTCACGATGTTTCAGTCGTTGCACGCTCCGGCCTTCTTCAGGATCAGTCTATATTCCTGAAATGTGGCATTGGAACTATTTACATTACTTACATTGATCGGACTGTTGATCCGTCTTTATTACCATATTCACGATGTTTCAGTCGTTGCACGCTCCGGCCTTCTTCAGGATCAGTCTATATTCCTGAAATGTGGCATTGGAACTATTTACATTACTTACATTGATCGGACTGTTGATCCGTCTTTATTACCATATTCACGATGTTTCAGTCGTTGCACGCTCCGGCCTTCTTCAGGATCAGTCTATATTCCTGAAAATGGCATTGGAACTATTTACATTTACATTGATCGGACTGTTGATCCCGTCTTTATTACCATATTCACGATGTTTCAGTCGTTGCACGCTCCGGCCTTCTTCAGGATCAGTCTATATTCCTGAAATGTGGCATTGGAACTATTTACATTACTTACATTGATCGGACTGTTGATCCCGTCTTTATTACCATATTCACGATGTTTCAGTCGTTGCACGCTCCGGCCTTCTTCAGGATCAGTCTATATTCCTGAAATGTGGCATTGGAACTATTTACATTACTTACATTGATCGGACTGTTGATCCCGTCTTTATTACCATATTCACGATGTTTCAGTCGTTGCACGCTCCGGCCTTCTTCAGGATCAGTCTATATTCCTGAAATGTGGCATTGGAACTATTTACATTACTTACATTGATCGGACTGTTGATCCCGTCTTTATTACCATATTCACGATGTTTCAGTCGTTGCACGCTCCGGCCTTCTTCAGGATCAGTCTATATTCCTGAAATGTGGCATTGGAACTATTTACATTACTTTACATTGATCGGACTGTTGATCCCGTCTTTATTACCATATTCACGATGTTTCAGTCGTTGCACGCTCCGGCCTTCTTCAGGATCAGTCTATATTCCTGAAATGTGGCATTGGAACTATTTACATTACTTACATTGATCGGACTGTTGATCCCGTCTTTATTACCATATTCACGATGTTTCAGTCGTTGCACGCTCCGGCCTTCTTCAGGATCAGTCTATATTCCTGAAATGTGGCATTGGAACTATTTACATTACTTACATTGATCGGACTGTTGATCCTGTCTTTATTACCATATTCACGATGTTTCAGTCGTTGCACGCCCGGCCTTCTTCAGGATCAGTCTATATTCCTGAAATGTGGCATTGGAACTATTTACATTACTTACATTGATCGGACTGTTGATCCCGTCTTTATTACCATATTCACGATGTTTCAGTCGTCGCAAGCCCCGGCCTTCTTCAGGATCAGTCTATATTCCTGAAATGTGGCATTGGAACTATTTACATTACTTACATTGATCGGACTGTTGATCCCGTCTTTATTACCATATTCACGATGTTTCAGTCGTTGCACGCTCCGGCCTTCTTCAGGATCAGTCTATATTCCTGAAATGTGGCATTGAACTATTTACATTACCCATTGATCGGACTGTTGATCCCGTCTTTATTACCATATTCACGATGTTTCAGTCGTTGCAAACCCCGGCCTTCTTCAGGGTCAGTCTATATTCCTGAAATGTGGCATTGGAACTATTTACATTACTTACATTGATCGAACTGCTGATCCCGTATTTATTACCATATTCACGATATTTCAGTCGTTGCACGCTCCGGCCTTCTTCAGGATCAGTCTATATTCCTGAAATGTGGCATTGGAACTATTTATCCGTCATTACCTTACATTGATCGGACTGTTGATCCCGTCTTTATCCGTCTTTTACCATATTCACGATGTTTCAGTCGTTGCAAACCCCGGCCTTCTTCAGGATCAGTCTATATTCCTGAAATGTGGCATTGGAACTATTTACATTACTTACATTGATCGGACTGTTGATCCCGTCTTTATTACCATATTCACGATGTTTCAGTCGTTGCACGCCCGGCCTTCTTCAGGATCAGTCTATATTCCTGAAATGTGGCATTGAACTATTTACATTACTTACATTGATCGGACTGTTGATCCCGTCTTTATTACCATATTCACGATGTTTCAGTCGTTGCAACGCCCGGCCTTCTTCAGGATCAGTCTATATTCCTGAAATGTGGCATTGGAACTATTTATTATTACTTACATTGATCGGACTGTTGATCCCGTCTTTATTACCATATTCACGATGTTTCAGTCGTTGCACGTCCCGGCCTTCTTCAGGATCAGTCTATATTCCTGAAATGTGGCATTGGAACTATTTACATTACTTACATTGATCGGACTGTTGATCCCGTCTTTATTACCATATTCACGATGTACCAGTCGTTGCACGCCCCGGCCTTCTTCAGGATCAGTCTATATTCCTGAAATGTGGCATTGGAACTATTTACATTACTTACATTGATCGGACTGTTGATCCCGTCTTTATTACCATATTCACGATGTTTCAGTCGTTGCAAACCCCGGCCTTCTTCAGGGTCAGTCTATATTCCTGAAATGTGGCATTGGAACTATTTACATTATTTTACATTGATCGGACTGCCTTCTTTGATCCTGTCTTTATTACCATATTCACGGATGTTTCAGTCTTTTTACCATATTCCCGGCCGTTCTTCAGGGATCAGTCTATATTCCTGAAATGTGGCATTGGAACTATTTACATTACTTACATTGATCGGACTGTTGATCCGTCTTTATTACCATATTCACGATGTTTCAGTCGTTGCAAACCCGGCCTTCTTCAGGATCAGTCTATATTCCTGAAATGTGGCATTTGAACCATTTGACATTACTTACGATGTTTGATCGTTGACTGGCCTTCTTCAGGATCCCGTCTTTATTACCATATTCACGATGTTTCAGTCGTTGCACGCTCCGGCCGTTTCCGGCCTTCTTCAGGATCAGTCTATATTCCTGAAATGTGGCATTGGAACTATTTACATTACTTACATTGATCGGACTGTTGATCCCGTCTTTATTACCATATTCACGATGTTTGGTCGTTGCACGCTCCGGCCTTCTTCAGGATCAGTCTATATTCCTGAAATGGCATTGGAACTATTTACATTGATCGGACTGTTGATCCCGTCTTTATTACCATATTCACGATGTTTCAGTCGTTGCACGCTCCGGCCTTCTTCAGGATCAGTCTATATTCCTGAAATGTGGCATTGGAACTATTTACATTACTTACATTGATCGGACTGTTGATCCCGTCTTTATTACCATATTCACGATGTTTCAGTCGTTGCACGCTCCGGCCTTCTTCAGGATCAGTCTATATTCCTGAAATGTGGCATTGGAACTATTTACATTACTTACATTGATCGGACTGTTGATCCCGTCTTTATTACCATATTCACGATGTTTCAGTCGTTGCTCGGCCTTCTTCAGGATCGGTCTATATTCCTGAAATGTGGCATTGGAACTATTTACATTACTTACAT